TCTGAATGGTGTTTTACCATTCTATTTCTTGATCTGAATGGTGGTAACACTGGTGTGTCACCTGTGTAATTTTCTGAGTGTGTGTTTGACTTAAATCAATCAAAAGTTTATTTAAAAAGAAGCAGCAAGGAGGTAAAATTGTGAGTTATATAGTGATTTGGAGATATTATTCTTATAAAAATGACCTCAGAATATATATAGATATATATGACCTCAGTATATATAGATATAGAGATATACACATCCTATCTAATAAAAGAGTAATATGCAAATTGACCATCACTCCAACACACAATATGGCCACCCCATGTTTCAGAATATATATCAGTATATATAGATACAGAGATATAAACATCCTATCTAATAAAAGAGTAATATGCAAATTAACCATCACTTCGCAATAAAATGGCGGTACCCACAGCCAATAAGGAGGGAATATGCAAATTGATAGTTCGGGGCAAGCAGGCTGGCAAGCAGAATGGTTAGGGGCAATCAGGCGGGCAGGCAGGTGAGTGGTTAGGAGCCAGTGGTCTCCGATTGTGAGAGGGATGTCCCAGATTGGAGAGGGTGCAGGCCAGGCTGAGGGACACCCCTCCCCCTGCATGAATTTTGTGCACCGGGCCACTAGTTTATAGTATATTTTCACTTAATATATAGTGGGCATCTTTTCATATCAGTATATTATAGATGTAGCTCATTTTTCATCATGGTACATGGTATCCTGTAATATGTTTCCACTTTATTCTATACAGATATATAGGTGGTTCTCAGGGTTTTTTTTGTTTGTTTTTTTGCTAGCAAAATAGTGAAATTTGCTAGTAAAATAGTGAGATTTGCTAGTAAAATAGTGAAATTTGCTAGTAAGAACTAACATTCTTATATACATACATTTATGAGAATTTCTCCATGACACATATTTAGAATGAAGATTGTTAGTTCAAAGGGTAAGCACATTTAAAATTCGGATAGGCACCTGTAACAGGAGATCTTTGAATAGTTTTATGCCAGGGGACAACATCTGAATTTTCTCTAATTTCAACCCCTTAAAGGTGCAGAGTCCCTCGATTCCCCATCTGAAGAAGATGTGGGGACATTTTCAGGTGGGTAGGACTGCACATCAGAGCACCAGGTAGACCAGGAGCCCCCGATAGGGCTGGCATTGTCCTCTCAGTCAGCTGGTACCTCCCAGGCAGCAGCAGACCTCGGGGCTGTGAGGGGAACTGGGTGGGTAGGGTTCCCTTGTCCCTACATCAGCCACCCTGGGAACTGGGATGTCATACCCATCTTAGCGATGAGTGAATGGAGGCCCAACATGAGCAGCCTGGCTGGTGCCCTGGGCTGCAGAACTGAGGAGGGTGTCTGAGCTGGACTCAGGCCCTGCCTTCCAAGTCAGGAAGCACATCTGTGGGTGAGGCCTCAGTCTCCTCATGACATCAGAGAGGGTTGGACTAGAAGGTCTTTAGCCTCAGCTCCACGTACCACCCTTCTCTGGAGAGTCGGAGAGCCTGGGGAGTCAGACAGCGGTGCTGGGATCCCAATTCCACTACCTACTAGTCCTGTGACGGGTGAGTCACCTCACCTTTCTGGGACTCAGTTTTCTCTTCTGTGAAATGGGTGATGCTAAATGACTGCCCTCAGGTCAGAAACAAATGGAGTACAGTTGACTGAGCATTCAGCGCAGGGAGGAAGGCTGTGGTTCCTGCAGAGGCCCCACAACATAAACTGACTCTATTCAGCCACCAGGCCCCTGACACAGAACCAAGCACCAGGGGCAGATCCCACTCTGGAGAGCAGCTCAAGTGCAGCCCCTTCGCCAGCAGTGGGGCACAGCTGGGACACTTGGGTGCATTGGGTCAGCTCCTCTCAACTCTCCTGGGAGGAGAACATTATGAACCTTCTAGGGTTCCTTGAAGCCCAAGAGGGAGGGGTCGACCTCACCCCATATCTCTGACATGTCTCCCCCAGCACCTGTTACTTATTGGGGAGAGGCAATATTTATCAGGTTGTAAATAGTAAGTGTTAGATTTAAATATTAAAATCCTGTTTCTTGAACGGTCTGGGAGTTGTGGTATATATAGTTCACTTTCTTGTGCCCATTGAAATGAAATTCAGAATCTCACATTCCACCTTGAATTCAGAAATCTTGCACGGTCATCAGCTTATTATATATGGGAGAAGGGAGAAGGGCCAGCTGCCCTCCCTGGCTCTTGACACCCCCAGGTACCCCTTACTCAGAGGAGAGGTTCATTTCAGCATCCTTTACCTGGGCAAGGGGCAGGGACAGCCCCTCAGAACTCCTGGGGATTTAGGGAGGTGGATATGGAGGTGGCTTTCAAAACAACAATTGCCAAGACCACATCCTGTCCCAGGTCAGTGGCTGCCTTTGGGCATCTCCAAAGGCAGAGGGAACATTTTCTTCTTCTCTTGTTGAGGTTTCTTTTGACCAAAGATTAGGAACTTGTGGTCTGTTGGGTCAACCTCTGGAAGTACATCAGCACTAAGTAGGGAAAACAACATAAAAAAGATTGAAACGTGCATGTGGAGAGGATGGGGCCAGAGGAAAATCATTTGCAAATGGACTAAGGGCAGGCAGGACTTTCCATCCTCCGGCCGCTCGAGGCCTCAGTGATTATCCTTTACCTACATTTGAATCCTCTTGGGATTCGTGTCCAGGATCTGGAGATTCCTTTCTTGCTTGTTTCTTATCAGGGGAAAGATTTGTGATACAACTTTTAAGGCTACAGCTGGGCCTTGTTCCATAAACAATGCTCCCTATCATCTAGAACAGGGGCCCTCAAACTTTTTAAACAGGGGGCCAGTTCACTATCCCTCAGACCGTTGGAGGGCCGGACTATAGTTAAAAAAAAAGTATGAACAAATTCCTATGCACACTGCACATATCTTATTTTGAAGTAAAAAAACAAAACGGGAACAAATACAATATTTGTATTTGCATGTGGCCCGTGGGCTGTAGTTTGAGGACCCCTGATCTAGAACTTCCATCAGTCCTGCAACTCCTCATACAATTGTCTTTAAGGCAGGAATTCTCTAGGAGGCTGCCAGCCTCTCTAGCAAGTACATTGTGGCTGCTCCTGCCTGGCTGGGCCTGCCAGATCACAGGTGAGCTCTGGCTTGACAGGGTGAGACCATAATCCTGGCCAATGAATGTCCCCATAATCTCCCTTGCTGCCCAAGGTAATTTCTGGGCTCTTGTGGTTCTGAGGCTCACGGTCTCAAACAATCACCAGCTTACGTGCTCAATTGTGTTGCTACCAATGAAACCTAAAAGGGATGCTGAACCTGAGCCCCTAGAGCTTGTAGCCCCTGGGATGGCTGTATCTTTTCCACAGTCTTGTGCTGTGTGCATGTCATGGAGGGTGTGGTGGGAAGTATTAGTATTAATTAACAGAGTGAATGTTTTCAATCTGGGTGAAAAACAGACACTGCTCTGCATTTATCCCCAATACCCACCCCATGATCAAGAACTAAAGGCTTACCACTTGCATTTGGAACATTATCTCTTGGAAATATCCTATAAGAGCAAGGGCCAGATGAATTGCTTGGCACTTCTGAGTGACCTCCCTCTTTTCTGACGGCTGCAAATGTCACCCAGACACTCATCAGGCAGACTCTGCCAGGAAGGCCTTTTCAGGACAGCCAGAGCTGAGGATAAACCCTGGTTCCTGGCAGCCCAGGCCTTTCGTGATAGGGCACAGCCACCCAGCAAAGTGATTATCTAAAGTAAAGACAGATAAGGCTGTACGTTGCCTCCAAAGAGAAAGAGAAGTGCCCGTTCCCAGGGCTAGCCCAGGGCTGAAAAGAAGGTATGGGCGTTCGATACATTTCTCCTGCAGGGCTACGAGGCTCCTGAGACCCAACCCTACATGTAGGAATATTTAATAAGTCTTGTGCCCACCATATGGCCAGAAGGGATAATTTATTGTATCTTTGGGTTTCCAATG